GAGGAGGCCGGAGGCAGGAGCCGCCCCTGGTCCAGCCCGCGTCCAGCCCCTACTCTGAGGCCGTGGAGCGGCAGCGCCGGAGTCTGCCCATCTTCCAGGCGCGGGGGCAGCTGTTGGCCCAGCTCCGAAACCTGGACAGCGCCGTCCTCATCGGTGAGTGGCCGCGCCGGCGGGTGCTTCCTTGCTCCCCGTTCGGGCTCTGCGAGAACAGCTTTTCCTAGGCGTCTCTCACCGTATTTCATTCATTTCTACAACAAACCTGACCTTTTCTGTGCGGGGCCAGGAGAGAGGCTTCAAAGGAGTCGGACAGCCTCGTTCTGGAGGTGCTCACAGCCAGTGCGAGTGACCCACGCGCGAAGCAAAGACTCACCTTACGTGTGGAAGAGTAGAGGGGCGCAGCGGGGACTTTGGGAACTTTGAAGAGTGGTTCTGAGCCAATCGGTGAGGGGCGGCGGGGGAGGTGGTCCCCGGAAGGCGTTCAACACAGCCTCGAGAGAGCCTGCCCTGTTAAGAAACCAAATAGAGGCGAGAAACAGTTCTGTTTCTGGTGCATGAATTAAGAGGCAGAGTTGAGGACCGGGGACTGATTACAAGCGGCTTTGATCCCCAACGTTTAAGTAAGAGGAGTTCCTGAAGGACCCAAAGGATGAGCCTCCAAGGGAAGGAGACCCAGGAGAGCCGACAGCCTAAGGAATAGAGCTGTAAGAAGGGAGTGAACAGATGCAACAGTGAAGAGGTCCAGTAAATGCGGACCCAAAAATGCCCACTGGTTGGATGCGAGGTATTGACTGTGGATCCCATTGAGCTCTGTTTCAGCAGAGCCGTGGGAGCAGAAGCTGATTTGGCATTGGGCAGAGGAGTATGCAGGAGGGAAGGGCATGAAGGCAGAGGGAGCGGACTTCTGTTTTGAGAAAAAAGGAGTGGGGACGGAGAGAAATTTTCACGTATTCACAGGCTGAAGGGAATAACTCAGTGGAAGAGGCTGAAATTGGAAAGCTGGCACTAACAGAGGCTGAGAGCATGAGGAAGAGGGGTACTTGGGAACAAGGGCTCGATGCAGAGCTGGCCTGGAACAGGAGGATGGATATCCAGGAGGCTGGGGGCTGGAGAAAGGAGGTGAGAATAAGGGTGACTGCAGAAAAGCTTGGAGGGGAGAGGGAGGGAGATCACATTTGAGGACTTCACTTTTTCTAGGAAACAGGTACAGGAGCTCTGCTGAGAATGGGAGTTGCAGGGCCCTTGGGGAGGCGAGGGACAGAGGAAGGGCTGGAAAAACAAGAACAAAGACCGACGGTCGTGCTGGTGCACAGGTACATTTGGCCCCACTGCGAACTCAGGTATTCGTTGGCGCAGTTGGGTTATTTTACTATAGCAATGCTCAGTTTCTTGGTATATGAGCAAAAAAGATGGACAGGGAGACACTGATCCAAGTTGGGGTTTTGCCTGGAGGACTCAGCAGGAGGAGTGTAGAATGATCAAATGATTCTTCTCTGGGTCAGGAAGGATGAGCAGTCAGAGGGAAGAAGATGGAAGAACCGTGGGTCTGCAGGGCTCTGTGAGGTCAGGGAGGGTTGGTGGGAGCCACGGAGGGGAGGGACGCACGGGTCTGCCAAATTCTTTGCTCTGATTGGGCACTGGGAAAGGAATGCCTGCTGTATGCAGATGCTCAAGTACACGGAGGAGACAGGCAGGCCTCTGCCCTCCAGGGGCTTCTGATACTGGAGGGGGACAGAAGCATTTAAATGCTTCCACATAGTGTAGGATGATCAGTGTTGGAAGAGAGATGAACAAGGCACTAAGGAACACAGGAGGCTAGTGCAGCCCCTGGGGAGAGAATTTGAGATCTAACTCATCTTGTTGAGTTTGTCAGGCAGAAGCATGGGAGCAGGTGTTTCATAATAGTGCAGACAGAGGCAGAGGGTGTGAAAGAAGGTGGCAGGCTGGGGAACGTGAGGGGTTAGGCATGGCTGCAGTGTAGGGGTAGACATCTCCTCACGTCATTACATAGACGTCTCATTTATTCCTTTGAAAAGTATGACGGGGGGTTGGTATAGCTCAGTGGTAGAACACGTGCTTAGCATGCACGACATCCTGGGTTCAATGCCCAGTACCTCCATTAAAAAAACAGGATGATATTTTCATCACAGTTGTATTTCATTGTATGCTTTTACTGTACCTGTTACTATTGCTGACCGTTTACATCTTTTCCAATTTCTGGCTGTCATGAGCAATGACTAAAACGTCTTTGCAGCTTCATCTTTATACACATCTTTACTTCTTTAGACACAAGTCCTGTAAGTGGAGTTGTGGGTCAAAGGATATAAACATTTTAAAGATTTTTCCTGATGTAATTTGGCCTTCCAAGAAACAATTGCAGTTAGCACTCCACTAATAGTACACTTGGGTGTCCGTTTTCCAGTGGCTTTATCAGATCAGTGTATTTTCTTTAATCTTTTCCTTCTAACTTTGATCTGGATTGTTTGGTGAAATTTGTTTCTGTTTTGCATTTAAGTGAGACTTTTTTCTTTCCTAGGGGAAACTGGCTCTGGGAAGACCACGCAGATCCCTCAGTACCTGTATGAAGGAGGAATTGGCCGCCAGGCCGTCATTGCTGTGACCCAGCCTCGTCGAGTGGCGGCCATCTCCCTGGCGACCAGAGTCTCAGATGAGAAGAGAACTGAACTCGGGAAGCTGGTACCTAATTTCCTTCTTCACTGACTCCCTTTCTTGGCTCCTTTCCCCTCACCCCCTGCTCCCTGACTCTTATTTTTCTGAACAAGACTTCTTATACATAGCAAGCTTCTTCCTGGCCACACTGTTTTGGCCTTTACTAGTTCCTCAGAGATCAGAGGTCCCACAGGCTGTCAGTCCCATTTGCTTTGCTTTCAAAATGTGTTAGCAAGTCGGATAAATTAATTGTTTTCCTTGAGCACTTTCAAGGCTTCATTAACATCTGCTAAACCTCTTATCTACCTATCCCTCTAAAAACTCGTAAGCATTTTTCTAGCTTATACGTGGGTATTGAGAGTGAGTCCCAGAATTTGTAAGTCAGATTTATTTGTGTTTGTGTGTGAGTTTATGCATTTGACTTAAAAAAACGTCTTGGATATCCTTTCGTGTGTGTACATAGCTTCACTTGAAACTGTGAAGCAGCCGGTGGGAGGAGGTTAGTTTTAAATTCTCTGTAGTGCTAATCTTCAGTGCAGTGCAGGGGTGTGTCCTTTGTCCCAGGGAGCGGGGCAGAGCAGGTGTTGGTCCCTATCACCCAGGCAGCATAGGGCAGGGACCCTGAGTGCACGACACGTGTTTGACGAGTGAAAAAGTTGTGTCACCGCGCAGGTTGGCTACACTGTGCGCTTTGACGACGTCACCTCGGACGACACCAAGATCAAGTTCCTGACAGACGGCATGCTTCTGCGCGAGGCCATCTCCGACTCCCTGCTTCGGAAGTACAGCTGCATCATCTTGGATGAAGCTCATGAACGGACCATTCACACGGACGTGCTCTTTGGGGTGGTGAAGATGGCGCAGAGGAGGCGGAGGGAGCTGGGGAAGCTGCCTCTCAAAGTAGGTGCAGCCCGTTCTACAGGACCGGGGAGATCAGGGAGGTGGGCGTTGCGCGGGCCTCCTGGTTGCAGGTAGGGATGGAGGTGAACAGAAAGGCTGCCGGTGTTGGTTTCCCATCCTCCTCTCCCGTCTGGCCTGCAGGTGATTGTGATGTCAGCCACGATGGACGTGGACCTGTTCTCTCAGTATTTCAATGGAGCCCCCGTCCTCTACCTGGAGGGTCGGCAGCACCCCATCCAGATTTTTTACACCAAACAGCCGCAGCACGATTACCTGCACGCTGCCCTCGTCTCGGTCTTCCAGATCCACCAGGTATGCGGTGGGGTGAGGATGCCCAGAGAGGTCGGTTTGACCTTGAGCGTTCAGCCTTGCAAAGGAAAACTGCCAAAGGAAACCACTCCGGGAGCTGTGTCCTTAAGGTGAATAAGGAGTTCGTTTACCACGTCCACGTGTTTACTCTTTTTTTATGCTTTTTTTCCTCTAAAAAGAAAAATAGTTCAACCCTGACCAGCAGCTTTCTTCAGCTGAGCCAGAAAACATCCACAGGGTAGAGCAGTGGCTGGCGAGCACTTTTTGATCAGAACCCGCAGTAAGAAGCACATTCTATTTTGCAACCCAAGACATAACACATAGGGCTGAAGTAAGTCTTCAGAAACAGTGCCCCCCTCACTATATGTGATGTCCTCTGGTATTTTCTCTCATTAAAAAAAAATAGTTGGTATATTAACCAATAATGGGTTGTAATTTATAGAGTTTTCTTTTGAAAAAAAAACTATATTAGGGAAATATTTCAAAAATTTTTTCATTTTATTAAATATCGACTTAAATTTTCAAGTGATTAAATCACTTTTTTTTTTTGGAGGGAAGGGATTAATGTGTATAGAATTCACTGTTCTTACCTGCCCATTAACTTTCTGAAAAAAATCTAGGAGCCCGCTTTTTAAAGCTAATTTTTGTTTTAAGCTAATCGATACATGCATACATAGTTTAAAGTTTGAAAAGTCAAGCTAACTTTAAAAAGCTCATTGAAAAAAACAGCAGTCGGAGAGGGAAGGTGTAGCTCAGTGGTAGAGGGCATGCTTAGCATGCAGAAGGTCCTGGGTTCAGTCCCCAGTACCGACTCTAAAAAAACCTAATTACCTCCTCCCCCCGCAAAAAAAATTAGAAATGGGTTGAAACTTCTGATCTCTTCTCTTCTCCCATTGTCTCTGTCTTTCTGGCCTTATGCCTTCACTGTAACTTTGATAGTATTTGCAGAAGGTCAGTCTGCCTTGTTTCGCTGCTAAAAGCAAACTTGAGATGAGGATTTGTCATGCATGACACCTGCGGGGCCCTCAGGTGACATGGTGGCTTTGATGAGTCCACTCATTGATGAAGCGTTGATGTTTTAGAGGTTATCCTGTCTGTGTGTGTGCACCTCTGAACACTTGTCCTGTTAATGCCAGGCTGAAAGAGTACATGCACGCATGCATGGATGTCTAACGACACGTATTTACATGTAGACATTTTATATATATGTGTGTAATGTGTATATACTTCCACACGTGCACACGTATAATTACTACTATCAAATGTGTTTCAGTTATTATGCCACTCAAGCACTTTACAGATTAATGTATCTGCACAGCCCTCAAAGAAAGACCGGGTCACTGGGTGTGCAGTTAACACTTGGATGTTCCTCCCTTCTCGAGGTGCGGAACCCAGTTCAGCCTGGGATCTCAGGCATCCGTCCGAGAACAGGGCGCTTTCGTAGTTTACAAGGGTGTGTTTGCCGGCCTCGGTCAGTAAGGGCTCCTTTCCCAGCACGACTGCTCCTGGCCTTTCTGTGGATCAGGATTTCCCCAAGTCGTTGTCTCTTTTGTCAGCTTCATCTTTCAAGATGATTCTGAAAGAAAGTAAGCCTTACGCAGATTTTACTGGCTTGCCTGATTACGCTGGTCATGACATTGTTCATGTTGCAAAAGCAGTCTGGTGATTTTCCTTCAAAATGTCCTTAGTTAGGTTCTGAACATCGCTGGCTAACCTGCATCAGTTGCAGCTGTGCGTTACTGGGGAGGGTTTTCTCCCAGGGGAGACACCCATGTTAAGGCTCCTGTATGACCCCAGCATTAAGGAAAATAACTGGGAAACTTCATCAGTGACCATTGTCTTGTTCTGTGCAGCCTGCACTTCCGTCAAGGCCTAGTCATTCTGCTCTGCCCTTCTGGTAGGAAGCCCCCTCCTCTCAGGACATCTTGGTGTTCCTCACCGGTCAGGAGGAGATCGAAGCAATGAGCAAGACCTGCCGGGACATCGCCAAGCACCTCCCAGATGGCTGCCCCTCCATGCTGGTCCTTCCGCTCTATGCCTCCCTGCCCTATGCCCAGCAGCTCCGTGTCTTCCAGGAGGCCCCAAAGGTGAGTGCACCCCCTCTCCTGCCCAGCCCCACCCCTGGGTACCAGACGGACCCCATGTGTGGGGTCTGTGCTCCTGTCAGCAGGCCCCAGATAAGGCATATTCATCTATGAGCTGAAAAGATGCAGGCATATAATGTAGGGCTGCAGCTATAGCTTTCCTGGGGTTGGAACAGGGAAACAGTTGTCAGGGTTGAGAGAGAGGCAGAGGCAGAAGCCAGAAGCTAAATGAGTGACTCTTCCGAGGTCCACCGTAAACAAGTGATTTGTCCACAGCACCCGTGCTGTGCCAGGCACGGGGCTCACACTTTGCAGCCACTCTGGCATCCTCTCAAAAACCGCAAGGTAGGTCACAGCCCCAGTTCATAAACCCCGAGGCCCCGAGGGATGGAGTAACAGTTGCCCAAGGGACACAGCAGGTAACTGGCAGGGCCAGGGTTCCATCCCGTGTCCACCGGCTTCTGAATCGTGTGCCCGTTCCGCTCCATCTCATCACCTCCAAGTAAGCTTTTAAAACTGGACCTTCTCCCCTCCTTCCACCCAGTTTAGTGACCAGCCATCGATATTAATAACCGTCATTCGTAACAAAGTCACCTATTCTTGATCGTGAGTGAATTGTGGCAGTCAGTGGTGAGGAATATATTTTAAAGCTTCTGAATCATTTGTGTGTCATACGGCTTTTTGGTTTTCTTCCTCCTTTTAGGGCTATCGCAAAGTGATCATTTCAACCAACATCGCTGAAACCTCCATAACCATTACAGGAATAAAATATGTAGTTGACACGGGCATGGTTAAAGCAAAGAAGTATAACCCTGGTGAGAATCTGTAGCTCCCCGACGTCTCTTCCTTGTGCAGTGAGCCACCCGTAGTCCCACAGTTTCCCCAAAATGAGCAGTTCACCACTGCCCCCAACTGCGATTTGGGTGGCCTGCCCCACACATGAGATAGCAGTCAGGTCCAGAGGGGCTCCTGAGGGTACAGGGGCAGGTTGGTGAGGCGAGTCCCCAGGTGTGGCAAACATGGAGCAGGAGGATCAGGGACCCCGTTGGCAGATGGGTGAGAATGATGGCTCTCGGGCCAGGGACAGCGGATACCCCATCGGAGGCTTCCTTGGAGATGGCGTCCAGTGCACCTGGTTCGAGCTGCAGGCTCCCAGGAAGGAAGCAGGCCCCTGGGCTGGGGCGAGGCACTAGCTGTTTCCTGAGCATGTGCGGTGGGCAGCTTGCTTGAAGTCATTTCTCTTCAGGTCTGTTTTCCACCTTGCTTTATTCCGTGGAGAATATGAGGCAGCTGAAATCATGGCTCCCAAACCTTGAATTGAAATGCACTGCTGAGCTTTCAGGGTGCTGACTTTCATGTGTGTATCTCATGGGGCCGGCCTGCCTGAAAGGGCTTGGTTCTCCAGCGCCAGGCATGGAATACACCTTTATCAAGATTTGTCTCCTTCACTCCTGGGCACAACAGCATCACATCATCTCTCTTTCATAATAGAGGGAAAGGAGGACGGCGCATAGAGGGCAGGAGGCGTTTCATTTCCGAGTCATTGATTGCTGGGGGACCAGCCGTCCCGGTTGCTGGAAACTGTCTTGGTTTTGGTTCTGGGAGACCCCTCAGTCCTGGGCAATCTGGGGTGGTTGTCACCTGTGATCTAAGCCAGGGCCTCTGAAATCTGCTCTCCTGGCCCCCTGCTCCGAGCACGAGGTTTCTCTGGTGCTTCAGTCACAGATTTCACACGGTGTTCACGGCAAGGCCTCGTTTCACCACGGACCAGTTTGGCTTTACACTTTCCTGGACTCGTGTCTCAGAAAGGGTCCCTCGTGCCCTAAGGAATGCTTCTCACTGTCCACGTTGTAGAAACAGCTTGTCCGTGTGATGGGCGAAGCACTAACTTGGGCCATTCTCCCCCCAGACAGTGGCCTGGAGGTGTTAGCTGTGCAGCGAGTGTCAAAGACCCAGGCCTGGCAGCGCACAGGACGGGCTGGCAGAGAGGACAGTGGTGTCTGTTACCGGCTCTACACAGAGGATGAGTTTGAGAAGTTTGAGAAGATGACCGTGCCAGAGATCCAAAGGTAGGCCCAAGGGGCTCCCATGCCCGCCATACGTTCCCGGGGCTCCTGTTCCCACTCGTGTCTTCCCAGGGCTGCTGTTTCCCCTAAGGCCCCTGGGAGTGGGGGCAGCTCTGCCCCACTGGCTGGAGTCGGGTTTGCCTGCAGGAACCATCTGCATCTCCCACTCTTGCAGGTGTAACCTGGCAAGCGTGATGCTGCAGCTTCTCGCAATGCGAGTCCCAAACGTGCTCGCCTTTGATTTCATGTCCAAACCGTCTCCAGGTGAGTGGGGTCTTCAAGGCAGTGAAGGGGCCTAAGTGGACCGGAATAGCCAGCAACTTGCCAAGAAAAGGTCTTCTGGCCGCCTCCTCGTGTGTGTCTGATGCACTGGATGGAGACGCTCAGAATCACGAGAGGAGAGGTCTGTGCCCTCAGCTCCGCTGTGGTGCAGAAGCAGCGGCTTTGCGAAGGCGCCCTGAACGGGTCCCGTGACCACAGAGCCAACACGGGGGGTGGAGGGGGCCCACAGGATACCACCAACTTAACTGAGTTGTACTGTTGCAGCAAAAGGACTGAAAAGATCAAGTTTCTTTGCTTTTGACTGGAATTTGGTCCCTGTCCTTCACTGATAATCTCTCCACGGAGGAAGGAAAAATAATTGTGATTCTTAATGGTGGTAGCTTGGCACTTGACATCTTCAATACACCCTCTTCCTTTTTCTCTTGTTTTCAAGTGGGGAAATGCAATTGGGTAAAAAAGTAGACAGTCAATGTGAGTCCTGGGCCCTCCCCTGTCTTCAGACTCTTAGTTTCCCTTCCAGAAGCAACCACTGTGGCCATCCCCCAGCGTCTTCTAGAAAAAATCCATGCGTATGCAAGTACATAGCCTCACGTTTAAAACACAACTAGCAATGCACATTGTGCACCATTCTACATTTTTTTCCCCTTTTAATTGCTAAGTTCCTACATGTAAAGGAAGAACACATGCCAGGTAGCAATGAAGCCACACCTGGGTACCTGTTACTGGGCCCACGAAGCCCTCCCGCCGCCCTGGCCTCCCTCCTCCTGCCTCGGAGGAACCACTTCCCTGGTTTTGTCTGTGATTCCCTCACTTTTCTTTGATGTTTTATTCCCTGCACGTGCATCCCTGAGCAAGGTGTTGTTTTGGTTGGCGTTTTTATGTGTTGATATCCCAGTAACCTCTCTTCATTCGCTGTGTTTTGCAAGGTTTATGTTTGATGCATTTTCAGTGCTAAATACTGTTCCATTCTATGAATAAATCAAAATGCCATTTATCCTTCTACTGATAGACATTTGCACATTGCTCTTTTCCCTTAATATATCTTACACATCATTTCCTCCCTGTGTGTATATGTTTATTACATGATTAGAAATGCATCTTTATTCTTTAATAGGTAACGCAGTTTCATAGTTCAAATTCAAAAAGAATAAAAGGAAATAGTAAACAGGGGCCTCTGAGGCAGCTGGTGTTTCCATCGTGTGTGTGATCTGGAGGTGCAGGTCCCTGTACGGTGTGCGAGTAGATTTGGGGGTGAACTTCTTAAGTGTAACTTTGCTGGGTTTTGGATTTATGTACATACTGCCCAATTGCAGGCTGTTATTTAAAAAGAGAATTGAACATGGAGACAGTGGTGGGTGTGAGGTTTGATGCAGACGTATCAGAAGCTCCCGAAGTACTGAACTAGCTACAGCTTCTTCCTTTTTTAAATTTTTGGCTCCTTTTTATATCTCTTTAGATCACATTCAGGCGGCCATTGCCCAGCTGGAGCTGTTAGGTGCCCTTGAACACAAAGACAACCAGCTCACCCTGACTCCAATCGGAAGAAAGATGGCGGCATTCCCATTGGAACCCAAATTTGCCAAAGTAAATGATACCCTCCCCTCAGTCCCCTTTTTGCGAAGTGCAGGTTAGCCATCCCTGCTCCCATAGGACTCCTCAACCCAGTGCTTCTAGATCCATCTTCCCTTTTTCTCTTAAATAATGATCAAGCCCTACTCTGGGTCTAACGCTGACTTAGATTCTTTGTGGGGTTCAGACTAGTCATGAGCCCTTTCTGTGTGGAATTTGGAGTCACGAGGGGAAGGCAGTCATCTGTTTAACAAAAAGTGAAATGACATAACACACATTGTCATGGTTTTAGAAACACCTGCCCCTTCACATCTTAGAGGGGAAGCAACAAGCAATACAGGGAAACACTGTGTCCAGGAGCCGGGAAACGGCTTGGTGACACAGTTTTAAATTTTGACTTGCAGACCATCCTCCTGTCCCCCAAATTCCACTGCACGGAGGAGATACTGACCATCATCTCCCTGCTATCAGTGGACAGTGTTCTCTACAACCCCCCTTCTCGGCGGGATGAGGTGCAGGGTGTGCGGAAAAAGTTCACATCGAGCGAGGGCGATCACATCACCCTGCTCAACATCTACCGGACCTTCAAAAACCTGGGCAGAAATAAGGTAAGCCGTGTCTCCTTCCTCTTCCCAAATGGCACCTCCTTTCGGGCTGGTGTTTTAAGGGCATCTTCCCTTCTGGGCTGTGTCACCTGAAGAGCCACAAAAAGAATGCCGGTTGTCACTTCAGAGAAGTCTGAGCACAGGGAGGTTCCCAGGGAAGACGTCAGTGATTCCAGCCTTGCACTTTGCTTGTATTTGACTCGCACTTAACATGGGCAAGTTCGTTAAGTATTTGGTGATCCGATTTCTTAGCTTGAAAAGGATTTATTTCCCCACCTGCCCCTGACTTTCTTCACAGTAGCCTTTGCTTTTGTGATACTTCAGATGCATGGACCAAGATGGAAAATGGCAGTGTCTTTTTTTCTTTTATCAGTGAAATCAGTAATTGTACCATAGACTGCATGCTTCACTTTGTCTGTCTTAATGCAGTTATTAAAAAAAAAAGGAAATAATAATAATAGCCAGCACCAGGTTTAGTAGCGGTAAACATTTTGTTCTATTTGCCTCCATTTATTTTTAAGGAAAGAAAATGCTGTGGACACAGCAAGAGCCCTGTGCTGCTCCCTGTGTAGTCCTTTCTCCCTTCTGTAACCACTGTCCTGAAGTGGGTGTGTCTGTGTCCCTGTGGGCGACAGCGCACACTCACTTCATATCCATGCACATTGTGTGATGTAAATGCTTCCACCCTGCAGGGAACATCCAGCTGGGTCTCCTGTGCACAAGGGGGCGGGTTTCTCTGGGGCTGACACCCAGGAGTGGACCTGCTGGTCTTAGGGCAGCTGCGTCCAGCTTTAACAGCGGGTGTGTGGCTCCGCAGAGCTGTCACCTCCCTCTGCAGACTCCCCAGAGTCATATACGAGAGTTCCGCTTCCTCCAGCCTCTCCAGCTCTCAATCAAAATGACTTTCATTTTTGCCATGTTGATGGATGTGAGCTAGAATCTCAGTTATTTGAAACTGCACCTGCCACGATTCCTCAAGAGACTGAGAGTCTTTGCTTAAGCTTATTGTCATTTGTGGTTAATCTTCTGTGGGTTGTCTGTCTACATCCTTTGTCCACTTTCCTACTGGTTTATTGTTCATTTTCTTATTGATTTGTAGGTTTTTGTTTGTTTGTTTGTTTGTTTGTTTTTAATGTATTCTGGAGGTAATCATCCTTCCCTGGTGAGGTGATGCAAATATCCCAGTCTGTAGCTTTTTTCATGGTAACTTAATAGAAGAAAATTTTAAGTTTTACTTTAGTTTAAATTTGTACTGTTTCCCATTATGGTTCATGCTTTCTGATACAAAGATATTTTCCTATATTTATTTTTAGCAACTGAAGTTCTTCTCTGAATTTAACTGTGGTCTAAAAATTATGTATTTTTTCTCTATAGAAATGTGAGGACTGTGATATTTCTTTTTCTCCTCTTCAGGATTGGTGCAAAGAGAATTTTGTCAACAGCAAGAATATGATGCTAGTAGCTGAGGTCAGAGCACAGCTGAGGGACATCTGCTTAAAGGTATTTCCCCTCCTGGTGTCCTTTGGGGGACTAAGCGTCGCTTTTTTCTAGGTGAAAATTTTTAAACTGCTCATGATTACAAAAAAACAAAACAAAACAGAACAAAAAACTCTGACTGTAGGAAAATTTAAAAGTAAAAAAGAAAGTAAAAATTACCCCAAATTCCACCTCTCACCATTTTGGTCTGTTTCCTTGCTGCCCTGTTTTTGATGCATTTTTTTACATAGTTACATGGTATGTGTATTTCATATTTAGCTTTTATAAACTTTAAAAGCATTTTCCAATGTTGTTAGAATTTTTCCCAAGGTTTTTTTTTTTAGTGGAAATATCTTTGTGATTTTTTCTTCAGCTTATGAAAGGAGTGCGTAATTGTTACAAATTGATTCAGTGCAGAAAATAGTATTATAGTGCAAAAAGTGTAAAGGTCTCCCACAGTCCTGCCCCTCCAATTTTCACACAGCAGTGTGGTGTAGATCCTTTTAGAATTTGTCCTGTGTATGTGTGTTTTTGTGTGTACACATACACATGGAGATATATATATATATATATACAATTTTCTTTTTAAAACAAATAGATGCACACTGGTTTTGCAGCTTGCTTTTTCGCCCTTGGTATGCTTCTTGACTGCTTGGTGCGTCCAGGCTGCCTTTCGATGCCTGTTTGTGTCAATCTCATTGTTTTTAGTGACTTCATAGCATTTCATTGTATTCACTACATTTTATTTAGTCAAGGCCAGAATGGTGGTCATTTAGGTCACGCTGTAATGACCATCCTCCTGAATACGTATTTGTGCTCTGGCGCACACAGCATGGACTTCTAGAGGAGGGATTTAGACTTTGACAGACATCACCAGATCACCAGCCAGGAGGTTTTCGGTCAGCCCACGGCCCCTCTTAGAGTGAATGATGTGAGGTCCTGGCCCGTAAGTGCTCAGGGGCTGTGTGGTGCTCCCCACTTGACCTCCGAGGTGGGCTGGTTTGTGGAAGTGTTCTGTGTTGGACACTGAGGGAGTGTCCACTTTTTGCTGCCAGGTACAGCTCTGTGGGACACTCTCTGTGGGGAAGGCGTCTTCTGAGACAGCCCCCAGTGTGGACCATCTGCACGCCCCTAGGGGACAGTTGTCACCTGTACCCAGACCTGTGTCTGATAGCAGCCTGCTGTGTTCTGAATTATACACATTTTTCCAACCCCTCTTGTACTTGAACAGCTTTCTTGCCAGACCATCGCCTCTCTTTATATGCCAGGCATGGGCCAAGGTCCTGGGGTTTTACAGGCATGCCTGTAACTCACATCTTAAGGAACAATCTAGAGGGGAGATCTGACATATATATTCACGAATGACTCATGAGAGAAGCCAATAATAAGGATCAAAGTCACGATCATTTATGAAGCACTACTGTTTAAGGCCCCGTTCTAAACACTTTTCATGCGGTTCCCTTATTTGAAATCCTCATCTCACCCTTGAGTTTACTTGTTATTATTCCCATTTTATAAATGATGAAATGAGAGCCTAAGAAGTTTAGCTAATTTGTCCCCAGTCACAGAGCCAGCGAGTGGCAGAGCTGGCACCCTGGCAGCCTGGCAGGAGAGACCATCTGTTAGCTGTAGGGCTCTGGGGCTTCCTGGAGGTGGTGACCATTCAGCCCCCTCTTGACAGATGAGGAGACAAAGAGGGTCTTCATCAGGCTAGGATCAGCTAATTGTAAAAAACAAGCTCCATCGAGCCACCACATAGGGAAAAGGGGGAGAAGAGGTGTCTTTGGGAGCCTCTGGGCAGGAAGTTGTCTAGCCCCACAGGGATGGGAATAAGGCACAGAAGAAGCCTTGGGAGCCAGGGTGGCTGTCTGTGGGCCACTGGTCCTCTCTCCACTGCTCCCTGCTCCTGCCTCCTCTCCCTGCCCCCCGGGGCACTGAGTGCCTGCTCTCCCCGCCTCTCCACTCAAGAGCTCCCAGGGGTTGCTCACATCCCCCGCGCCTCCAGCCTCCCCTCCCCCTCCCCCAGGGAGGAGCTGGCTAGGTACCTGTCAGCCAAGGGTTCACCACCTGGCTGCTCAGCTGTGGCCTGGAGTCCCAGGGGACTGGACCCACTCAGCAAGGGGGCAGAGGAGGGAGACAGATGAGTGACACCCACTGCGGAGGTGAGGGGCGTCCAGTCTCCTCGGGGACCTGCGGGAAGACCCTCGGGGGCCGGCAGAGGGGAGACGAGGCGGGGTGCTCAGAGAACTCATTCCTGGCTTCACGGGTGGAAGTTTGCATCGTTTTGCCGGGAGCAGGAGAGACACGGAAGGGAAAGCTTTTGAGTGGAGGAAGGACGGCCGAGTTGTGCTTTAGGAAGATTAACAGGGCAGCGGGATGTGAGGGGAACCCGAGGGAGGGGACAGTGGCATAGAGTGAGAGGGAGGAGGTCCTCCCTTCCGGGGACACTGCCTAGATATTCCCACGAGGGGTGAGCTGAGGGGTCACCCAGCCTGTCTCGTCTGGCAGCTTCTGTGACTGCTGATTTCCCTGCTGGTCTCGGGCACTGAGACAGTGCCCAGGGTGCCAGCACCCGCCACGGGCCTTGCACGCGGGGCTGCACCGTAGGCTCCGGATGCTGCGGGGGCGGCGCGATGCTCACGTCAGGGGTCTGCTCCGCTCCCTCTCCCTCTCCCTCCCGCCACAGATGTCAATGCCCATCGTGTCGTCGCGAGGAGACACGGAGAGCGTCCGCCGCTGCCTGGCGCACAGCCTCTTCATGAGCACGGCCGAGCTGCAGCCAGACGGGTCCTACGCCACCACGGACACCCACCAGCCGGTGGCCATCCACCCCTCGTCCGTCCTCTTCCACTGCCGGCCGGCCTGCGTCGTGTACACCGAGCTGCTCCGCACCAACAAGTGCTACATGCGGGACCTGTGCGTGGTGGACGCCGAGTGGCTGTACGAGGCCGCCCCCGAGTTCTTCCGTAGGAAGCTGAGAACCGCCAGGAACTGAGCCGCCGCCGGGGCCGTGCGTGCCGGGAGCTGGGCCACCCGCCGCCCCTCGAGAGGCCTCGGTTTGCACGTGAGGACCGAGCCGGGAGCTGAAAGGGTTAAACTGCCCGGACCGAACCTCCCAGACACATCCGTACCTTGGAAACTTAAAAAACGATGCTTTCAGTTCTTGCCCAGTGACTTTCGGGGACTGAGTTAGCTTCTGAGCTTCAGTTTCCCCATCTGTCAAATGAGGGTGACAGTAACACAGGGTTGGGGGCACGCGGTTTAGAGCAAATGGAAGAAAGTACCCAGAGCGGCGCCTGCCCACGACGAACCCGCCGTGGGGTGTGGGCCTCGGCGCTGGGCCGGGTTCCCGCTTTTCTGCATGATGTGAGTCCTGTCCAAGAAAATCCCCTGAGTTCTCCTGACTGAGGGGGACGGTCTGGAAGGTGCACCATCCGAGGACACAGAGCTGTTGACCTTGGATCTGTTTTAACATCCGTCTGCATGAAGTTTTGTAACAGAAGACAGAAGAGACTGACTTCTGTGGACATTTCAGGAGGGAGGTGCTGTTTCCTACCTCATGGGCCACTGCCCTGCCGGACCTCACTCCCCAGGGTGTGGACCTCCCCAGGGTGTGGACCTTCCCGGGAAAGGAAGTGCTCAAGCCCTAAACACCTGAACTAAGGAATGAATCGAGCTGCACTGTTTGCATTTTTCTACCCCCAGGGCCCTGGGGGTGGGGCAGACAAGCTCATCCCATCACCTTCTGGTGTTTCTATTCTTTCATCTTATTCATTTCCTGTGGCCTTTTTTCCTTAGGGACTTGAGGAAAGCCTGGCTTTTCTGTTTCACCCCTCTCCAGCCCTCAGTTTGTCAGAGGAGACTAGTCTCCACAGTTTCTTCCTCTTCTCATATTTTGAGAAAAGAAAAGACACACCGAAAGTCCTTCTTAGCTATTTAATGATGAAAAGCAAATCATCTTTCCTCAGGGAATGCTTCACCCCAGAAAACACCCAGAGTTAGCCCTTTTATTGTGCTTAATTGATCTAAACACACACATGGCTGTATTTTGGTCACTACTTACAAAGAGAAACATGCAGCTTCATGAGCAGGGGCCCAAACGCCCCAAGAGTCTTCAAAGACAGTGGACAGTCTCACCTATCTCTGCTTGTGTGTTTCAAGTCTGTCTCGCACCAGCCATGGCCTTGAGCAGTCAGGCTTTTAGCCAGTGTTCAGGGCTGTCTGGGACTTGTGATTTATTTCTGTTAGAAATAGTTATGTTTAGGCCAAAGGGACTCGACAGATCCTATATACTCTACCTTAATTAAAGTCTTACACTTTTCTTCTTACTGTTGCTGACTTTCTGAAAAGTTTTCAGAAAAATTTTAAGTGAATTTTTCTCACTTATTTAATAGAGGCCCAGGATGTTTAGCCTGACTTGGTAAAATACTGGATTTTTAATTTAAAAAACTCACCATGCTGGTAGAAAATTGAGAGTGGGCAGATATATTATATTCCTCAGCAAATTATGTAGAGTGTTCTCTGGGGCAAGTAAAATTTAGCTTGGAATAATCTATGTCCAGCTTAAGTACCTGATCCATTTCTGAAAGTGTTTTTTTTTTTTTTCTGAGCAGATGGAAGGGGTAGATAGCTTCTAAGTAAATATAAATAGCTTCTATGTTTCTGTACAGAAACAAGTCTATCATTGTAACGTTCTGGTAGAGTTTTAAATACATTAGTTTTTTATTGGGCTTTTTAAAAAGGTAACTTTTAACGTAGCTGCTCAGGGATTAAATCAGATGGGAAAAGCCGATCTGTCTCTGCATATTACTACAAAGAGATAAACGGTTGTTTATATGGAGCCGCAGGGGATAGATAAGTACACTTTAAACTTTCTTAAGAAAGTTAAATGTTTCACAATAATGTTGCGATCTAATCTTGAGCTACTCCCTTTCCATCTCTGATGCTGTGCCGCCTTTTTTCCCACCTATGGAATCTGAATCTGGATGGATAACTAGCTCCCTTCAGCAGCTGCAGGTAAACAGATGCACTCCAAGCAGACCCCTCATCCCAGATGTTTGACATCTGTTTCTGGTAATAGTGGAGTGTGAAACACTCAGGGCAGCGCAGACTCCACTACAGGGGGGAAGAACCACCAACACCCAGTTCTTGGTAAAAACCCTTAGTGTTGCGTCTCTGCTAGTTGTATAGAGATGCCAGAATGAAGACAAGTGTTTGCTGTGGGGAGAAAACTCATTATGTACTGTGATGCATAAATCCACTTAATCTAGCTGTCAAAAACAGAACTGTGGCCAAGTGTCTAAGATTCCATTCCTTCTGCACATAAGGAAACTGCCCCTGTGGGGAAGCCAGTTTTCTTATATTTGACCAGAATGTTAAAACTTGCAGGAAAAAACCCCAAAAATCTAATTGGTTCAGGTTTATGTTGTACTTTGAGAGTCTGTTTTTGTTCAAACAGACACAGCTGTATAGAAATATCAGCTCTTGCTTAGAATGCTCAGATTTGCACATGACTATCCAATCCATTAAAATGATTCTTGTACATGATGTGTGTGGCTTCCTTCTTGGGTCTCCTTTCCCTCATTCATAGAATGCTGTTTAGAATATACTAAATATTAGTCTTTGCCACTGTTTTGGGAAGACTTACTTTCTTGGTACCTTATATAACTTGTTTCCTGGCAAGGTAGAAACAGGAGTTAACCTAAATCTGATGTAAGCCGTGGCTTCTTGCCCCTAGAAAAATAATGTCCGTATCAGAACCTGGGTGTAAGATTGGTGCAGAGCGGAGGGTCGCAGGAATTAGCCAGGGATCTCACCCTTAGGAGCCCTGGGTTTGGTGGGGTTGAGGGTCAGCTGCCAGGCACACCAGCAAAGCAGGAGGTTTCTGCTGAGAAAATAATCAAGCACAGGGGCCGGGTAGCACAGACGTGAGTCTCTGTGTTTCATGGACGAGAGGGGGAATTTGAGGAAGTCCTCTCTGGGGAGATGACCTCAGAGGCTGGTCTTTGGGAGTTGGGGGGCGGCAAGAGAGCATTCCACGAAGGCATAGAAAGCCTGCGTGCTTGAGAACGGTGGATGGGAATTTGGAGAGTGTAAGCAGCCACTGGAGAGAACTGAGGCCAATGAAACAGCAAGCCTGGAACACCGGACTCTGGCCAACTCAGTTACGGAAAGTTGAGTAACTGGATTCGAAGCCTCCCCAGGAGGCTGCATCAGAGGTTCCCTGTAGAGGGCGCCGTCCCGCCCATGGTGCCTTGCGTCTTCAAAGCGGCGGCGCGGAAGCGCTTCCTGGGCGAGGGCGGGACTTCCGGCAGTGGCCCTAGATCTAGGGGGCGCAGCTGCCGGGAGTCGTCCTTCTTGGCAGGAGTCGTCCTTCCTTTTCGCACGTGTCTGCCGCCGCCTTCGCTGCCAAGATGCTGCAACTGCTA